AAAAAAAAAAAAAAAAAAAAAGTATAATTCAGGCTAACAAACTGTTACACAAAATATATTCTGTTCTTCTACCTTGACAAATATATACTTCACAATGGCCTGGAAGGCCAGGTTCAAATTTGTATTTTATTTGGAATCCTCAGGATTCTGCACCACAATATGGTAGCGTAGGGGAGGTGGTTTTGGCCACTGGCCCTCAGCTGGCCCACTTCTCCTCCCATCCCTGACACATCTTGGCTGCAAGCAGCCTTGTGTGGAACCATCAGGCCATCCCAAGTCTGTTCACAGACTCCTGCAAGCAGCTACCCTTTGTCTACCCTTTGACCTTGGAATATGTGAACCAGTCATGTGGTCCAGCCATGGGAGGGCAAACTCAGGGAAGTGGTCCATGTGGGTCCCAGGAGTGGGTTGGGCCTTTTGGATAGGGAATGCTTTTTTTTTTTTGACGGAGAGTTTTGCTCTTGTTGCCTGGGCTGGAGTGTAATAGTGCCATCTGGACTCACTGCAACCTCTGCCTCCCAGGTTCAAGCAGTTTTCCTGCCTCAGCCTCCAGAGTAGCTGGGATGACAGGTGCCCACCACTATACCCGGCTAGGTTTTTTGTATTTTTAGTAGAGACGGGGTTTCACCATGTTGGCCAGGCTGGTCTCAACTCCTGACCTCAGGTGATCTGCCAGCCTTGGCCTCCCAAAGTGATGAGATTACAGGCATCAGCCACCTCGCCCAGCCTGGACAGGGAATACTTAGCTATCTGGAGCGTGGTCCTGAGAGGATTAGGGTATGGGTGGAGGAGAGTTAGACTCTTTACCCATGTGATGGGATATAGCCAGAGAAGGGCCAGAGTGGAGCCTTCTAAAGCACAGGGCCCAGTGCAGGGGCCACTCCTGCCTGTGCCTAAGGGCAATAATTTTTTTTTTTTGAGATGGTGTTTCATTCTGTTGCCAAAGCTAGAGTGCAGTGGTGCCAAAATGGCCCATTGCAGCCTCGATCTCCCCAGGCTCAGGTGATCCTCCCACCTCAATTTTTGTATTTTTAGTAGAGACGGGGTTTTGCTATGTTGCCCAGGCTGGTGTCAAACTTCTGGGCTGAAGCAATCCACCTGTCTTGGCCTTCCAAAGTGCTAGGATTACAGGTGTGAGCCACTGCACCCAGCCAAAGGGCAATAATTTGATGTTTCCCTGTTTCATCAGTCTGTAAGTTTCATGAAGTCAGGGCTGGTATCAGTCTAAGTTACTGAGGTGTTGCCAATGCCTTACGCAGGGCCTGATGCAGAATAGGTGTTTAATATGCATTTGTCAAATGAATGTAGGAGGTACACCAAGAAGAGGTTGAGGATTTGGATCCGTTACTAAAGATCTAGATACAATGATACAGAACTGGGAAACAGAGCCAGGCTTTCAGGGTTCCAAAAATAAGAGTATAGGACAGGGTAGAGGAGGGTAGCATCCTGGAATGCTGACTGCCTCATCTTCTCTCCTTTCTCTTCATTTTCTATCCAACTCCTGCAGGTCCTTTGCCTGCCTGGCCCTCTTTCTCCATGGTCCAATATCACTCCAGCCATATCTTTCTACCTTTCTGTCCTTTGGCCTTTGCTCTTCCTCTGTGGCCTATGTATGTGTCTGTTTCTTTGAATTGGTGTCTAGGTCTTCGTGCTCAATCTTATGTCCTGCCCCTTCCGGCTACCACTCCTACTGTTCTGGTCCTTGTTCCTCTCCACCCCTCCTGTTGTCTCCTACTCTCTTCGTGGTCCCCTCCTGGAAGACCTCCTCTCTTTACCCCTCTCTTCCATGTGCCTAGATCGCTCTGTCACCTTTAATCCAAATCCCTGTGGAGCCCCTGACTTGTCCTGTTCTCTATCCCATGTCTACACCTACTGCCTCCTTGTCTTCTTCCTCTGTTCTATTATTCCTGGAGTCACGCTGGCTTCATCTTTTTCATCCCTATTTTCCTGTCTCCAGATGTCCTTGAGAATGTCTGTGTCAGTATTCATTTCCCAGTCTCCAGTGCATGTGGGAGATGGGGTCTGTTTTCTGGGTCCCCACTGACCGCCACAGACTCTCCTCTCTGTGCCCTTGGTCCTTTCCTCTGGCCCAGACTGGGCCCAGCCTGAGCCCAACCCTCACTCCCTCAGCTCCTTTCCCTAGTTTAGTGGTGCCTGGTCTGAGCCCCGAGCGGCTCAGCTTGCCTGAGCTTGTTTAGTCTGACTCCCTTAGCCTGTTAGCAGCTTAGCCCTCCCACCTCTCCTTTGAGCCCTCCAGTAAACAAGAGGATCAGTGCAGACCTGACAGCTGCTGGTTGGGGGCAAGTGTCTGGCCAGGCCAGAGCAGGCATGAAAAAGGGACTGCACTCAACATTTCCCATTCTTCCTTCAACCAGGGAAATTGTAAAATCTCTTTCCTGGGTGTCCACTTTAGAGAGCTATATTCCACGGGCATGTGTGTGGAGTCCTCTCTCTCCATGATCCTCATTCCCATTTTGTGATTGGTTCTTAGGTCTTAGGCTTTTTAATTCTTTTAAGAAAACAGCAGTAGATCCAGGCAGTCACACAGAGAAGCTTGAATGATGATGATGGTTTCTGTTCCTTAAAACAGAGACCCAGGTGTGGGAAGAGCGTGATGTCATCTGATCTAGGTTTTCTAACATGTGTGTGGAAAGCATGGTAGGAGAGACCATATACATACACACAGACAGACACATACATATACACACGCCCCCTGCCCCCTCAAGCGAAGCTGGGTAGACTCTAGGCATTCTATGCAGTTCTCAAACTTTTTTTTTTGAGATGGAGTCTCTCTCTGTTGCCTAAGCTGGAGTGCACTGGCACTACATTGGTTCACTGCAACCTCCACCTCCCAGGTCCAAGTGATTCTCCTGCCTCAGCCTCCTGAGTAGCTGGCATTACAGATGCCTGCCACCATACCTAGCTAATTTTTGTATTTTTAGTAGAGACGAGGTTTCACCATGTTGGCCAGGTTGTTCTTGAACTCTCAAAGTGCTGGGATTACAGGCCTGGTGCCACTGTGCTTGGCCTTCAAACTTTCAAGCACGTCAGACTTGCTGAAAGGGCCTTAAAACAGATTTCTAGGCCCCATCCCCAGAGTTTCTGACTCAGTGGATTTAAGGTGACACCAGATAACATGTATATCTAACAAGTTCCCAGGTGATACGGATGCTGCTGCTCCCAGGACCATACTTCAAAAACGACCATCTTAGATAATCAGTATCTGCCAGCTCTTCCCCCAAGGCTAAGGCTGGGACAAGGTTAAGTTGTATAAGTGATGACCTTTGGGGGCTAATGGACACCCAGGTCTCTGTGTTGAGAAAGAGGACCTGTTAACTCCATGGGAGTATTCGGGTGGCCTCAGAAGGTAGGGAGTGGCCTTTAACTCCATAGACCCTATTTAAACAGCTTCGGACAGGTTTAAACATCTCCTTGGATAATTCCTAGTATCCCTGTTCCAACTCCTACTCGGGGATGATAGCTGTAAGAGGTGTTAGGGGATTAGGCTGAAAATGTAGGTCACCCCCCAGCCATCTGGGAATTAGAAGAGCGAGAGGAGGAGAGAGGGGCAGAGACACACAGGGAAGAGGTGAGAGGAAGCAGAGGGCATGTGAGGGCAGTTACAAAAGTGTCTCCTATGGATGGTGGTGATTAGATTTCAATGTCCCTTGAGGCCCAGAAGGAAGGAACAGAGTTCCCTGCTCTCTTTTCACCTGCTCCTTCTCCCAAGCTGGGTTGCCTGTCCTGGGGCTGGGATCAGCAAGAGTGAGAGGCACAAAATATGGGATGGTCAAGTCCTGGAGATCCCCTGTGGGAAAAGTTGCTTTCTTTTCTGATGCAATGGCTATGAGGAGCATAAGACCAGTCAGCGTGAAGGTGGGGCAGAGGCAGAAATGTGAGGATTCTTCAAATTAGGAATCAGACCCAATAGGCCAGGCGAGAGTGGGCCTGGGAAAGCTTATAGTCTCCAAAGACATTGATGAAGGTGGGGGTGCTGGCAGCTTGTCTGGCTCTCTTTTCCAGTCCCAGGCTACCCATGACTAGGGCTGAGGGTTGTGTTCATGTGGAAGGGTGGTGGTTGAGGACCATGTAGCTGTCTGAACTGGGAAACTGAGCACTCAGGAGCTGGATCATCAGTGAGGAGCTTTGTTGGGGAAGATGCCCCCTTTCCTTCTTTGAGAACAAACATACTTGGACTCTCCTCTCTCTCCATTTCCCCCCAACCCCAGGCCAATAAGATATGCAAATGATCTCCTTACCTCATTGGTTAGAGGCCTCAGGACCACAGATGACCTCAGAGAGCTGGCCCTTTAAGAATGCCCTTTGGGCTCTGTGCCCAAAGCCCCCTGGAGCTGAGCAGAGAGGCACCAGACCCTGCTCCATGGAGCCTTCAGTCTCCCGGGAAGCTGTGCCTGCCTGGCTCTGGAACTGACCACATCCTCTCTGGCATCCCTAAAGTGAGTATTTCCAGGACCTACCTGGGTGCCAGGCCGCTTGCCTAGAGCTCCTCTTTCATCACCTGCTCTTTGTTTTGTGTTTCCAAAAATCGTCACTCTTTGGTACCCTACTCTATTCCCACCCTGGCTGGCCTGAGTCTCTCACTGCTATCACATCAGAAAGAGAAACAACCTTCCCCACTACCCCTTCTGTACATTCAATTCTTTCTGGATACCTCTCTCAGTGTCTCACCATCACGTCTGCCAAGGCCCAGTTCCTTTAATCTGTGTCTGTTTCCATCCCCTCTGTCCTCTCAAGGGTGACAGGTTTAATGGAGAGGGCAGCAACCTCGCCCTGGAACAGGAAGAGAGAGGCCTGGGTCTTCCTCTTGCCTCTCTGGGTAAAGCCTGGGGTTCGGAGACGTGATTGGAAAGAGGGTTACCTAGGCAAGAAGGAGTGGAAGTCTGGCTGGGAGCGGTGGCTCATGCCTGTAATCCCAGCACTTTGGGAGGACTAGGTGGACGGATCACGAAGTCATGAGATCGAGACCATCCTGGCCAATATGGTGAAACCCTGTCTCTACTAAAACTACAAAAATTAGCTGGGCATGGTGGCGTGTGCCTGTAGTCCCAGCTACTCAGGAGGCTGAAGCAGGAGAATTGCTTGAACCTGGGAGGCGGAGGTTGCAGTGAGCTGAGATCATGCCACGGCACTCCAGCTTGGTAACAGATCGAGACTCCGTCTCAAAAAAAAAAAAAAAAAAAGAAGGAGTGGAAGTCTAAGCCCTGGGGATGAGCACTCCCTGCCACGCCTCTTCTGGGGATGGGGTGGGAGTTACTGGAATTGGGAACTTGACTAGAGCTTGGACATCCAGACTGGTGAGGATATCTGAGGTCCCCCGGCCAGAAGTTCCTAAGGTGAACATGTGCCCCATGGTTGATAACAGACAGAGAGTTCCTTGATGACATAAGTTTAGGACACTTTGTGTTGAACTTGAACAGATGGTTTACTAAAGGATCAATCAGGTTAATATGCTCTTGTGCTATATGAATGTGTAAGAGGTAGGGATAGGAGGCAACATTTCTCAAAATTATCTGAGGGCAGACCTCTTCATGAGTATTGCTCAGAATCCGTGTTCCAGAGAACACTCTTTGGTATATGTTACAAAGTCTAACTTCCCTCATTGAACAGAGGGAAAAAAGGAAAATGGGTTGGAAGGGTGAAGGTGATCTGCTCGAGTTCTCACAACATAGCAAGTTCTGAATAGAAGAAGGAAAATCAATCTTGGTTGGTTCCCCTTGGAGAGACTGGCCTTGAGGAAAGATGGTGGCCAGTTGATCCTGATCTTTTTTTTTAATTTTTATTTATTTATTTATTTATTTATTTTGAGACGGAGTTTTGCTCTTGTTACCCAGGCTGGAGTGCAATGGCGTGATCTCGGCTCACCGCAACCTCCGCCTCCTGGGTTCAGGCAATTCTCCTGCCTCAGCCTCCTGAGTAGCTGGGATTACAGGCACGTGCCACCATGCCCAGCTAATTTTTTGTATTTTTAGTAGAGACGGGGTTTCACTGTGTTGACCAGGATGGTCTCGATCTCTTGACCTCGTGATCCACCCGCCTCGGCCTCCCAAAGTGCTGGGATTAGAGGCTTGAGCCACCGCGCCCAGCCGATCCTGATCTTTATAGAACTAATTCTAGGACCTTTCTTTTTTTTCTACATAAAGCTTCTTGCTCCTACAAAAGGGATTCATTGATTGATTAATCCATGGAACAAATGTACACTGAGGGTCTTCAAGAGGCAAGGTACTGCCTGCCCTAAGTCCTTTGAGAGACAGAGAGGTGTAACAGCACACTATCCTTGTATCTTAAAATTAACAGCATACATGCCTTCCTACTGTCCTAAAATATACACTTACTCTGTCACAGTTAATTAAGCAATTTTAAAAAATGGCTTGGAAATGGAATGATGCCTCTTGAGATGACAGACTTCTCGGCATGTCTCAGCACCAGGGTTGGGAGCACTGCCATACTGCTATTGTTTTTCATAGATCCTGAAGTATCAGTGAGGTGAGAGGCTGTGCTGTCCTCTTCCTCCTTCAGGCCTTCAGCTGCTTGTCTCCTGTCAGGAGCCCCTGCCCCTGAAAGGTTGCTCTGCAGCCTAGGGGGTACTGTGAAGTGGACAGAGCTGCACCAACCCTCTGGCTTTCCCGAACTCTTGCTCCAGGGCACTTAGGCTTTGAGGGAAGAGGGACTTGGTGAAGAGGGAATGGCAGGTGGTCTCCATGTGCTCCAGACCTCTCCTCCTCTTTGCAGGTGCACTCCTCCCAGCCCAGCTCCAGAATGGCCCTGCCCCCCAGCCCCCTGGCCATGGAATATGTCAATGACTTTGACTTGATGAAGTTCGAGGTAAAGCGGGAGCCCTCTGAGGGGCGACCTGGCCCCCCTACAGCCTCACTAGGCTCCACACCTTACAGCTCAGTGCCTCCTTCACCCACTTTCAGTGAACCAGGCATGGTGGGGGCGACCGAGGGCTCCCGGCCAGGCCTGGAGGAGCTGTACTGGCTGGCTACCCTGCAGCAGCAGCTGGGGGCTGGGGAGGCACTGGGGCTGAGTCCTGAAGAGGCCATGGAGCTGCTGCAGGGTCAGGGCCCAATCCCTGTTGATGGGCCCCATGCCTACTACCCGGGGAGCCCAGAGGAGACAGGAGCCCAGCACGTCCAGGTGAGTGGTCAGCAAGCTGGCCTGGGGGAGGGAGGCTGAGGGAGGAGGACTGCCCAAGAGAGGAGGGGGAGCTCCCGGAGTGGGTTATGGACTGGGACAATGGACAGAGGGCAGGAGAAGGGAAGAAGGTCCCTTGAAAGAAAACAGTTGGAGAAAACTACATTCTGCTTCTCCCCCTTTTCTCAAAATGGAGAGAAATGAGTAGGCTGAACCAGGAGGAGCAGGGAGAAGATAAGAGTAGCAGAGGACCCAAAGGGAAGAATTGAGCTGGGGAGTGGGCGACTCTGGGAGGTAAACAGACACACCGTGTGTGGAAACCAGGGAAAGGGGTACCTGTGGAATGGAGCCGGGTTAAGACTGGTTTAGATTGGCCTTTTCAAGACTTCGGGCTTCCCAGCCCCCAACCTTCTCAGGAAGGATTGGGACTCATCCTATTAATTACAGACACAGGTGGGGGTGTTGAGGGCATTAGGATGTAATCCAAATCCCGTGAGGGTCACCAGGTTGCGGGTTTCAGGACAGGGAAACGCAGAGCGTTGGAGGGTTGGGGGGTGTCTGGGTGTGGGTCCACTGGACACACCCTGGCTTGGAGCGGGATGCCAGGGACCTCAGAGAGGGGCCCGGGGTTCAGGTGCGCGATGGGCTCGCCTGACCGTGGCCGTGCACTGTGGGGCGCCTGCCCGGCTCAAGCAACGCTCAGCTGGAGGGACCAGGGAGCGTCGGGGCCTGGGGCGGGGTCTGCACCGAAACGGACTCTGTGGAAGCGTGAGCATCCCGGTGAAGGTGGGAGCCGGGGCGGGGCGGGGCCGTCCGGGGGCGGGGCCACGTAGCGTCGCGCGTCAGGGCCCAGCCGGTGCGACCCGGCGCTGACCCCGTCCGTGCACTCTCCCTCCGCAGCTGGCCGAGCGGTTTTCCGACGCGGCGCTGGTCTCGATGTCTGTTCGGGAGCTAAACCGGCAGCTGCGGGGCTGCGGGCGCGACGAGGCGCTGCGGCTGAAGCAGAGGCGCCGCACGCTGAAGAACCGCGGCTACGCGCAGGCCTGTCGCTCCAAGCGGCTGCAGCAGCGGCGCGGGCTGGAGGCCGAGCGCGCCCGCCTGGCGACCCAGCTAGACGCGCTGAGGGCCGAAGTGGCCCGCCTGGCCCGGGAGCGCGATCTCTACAAGGCTCGCTGTGACCGGCTAACCTCGAGCGGCCCCGAGTCCGGGGACCCCTCCCACCTCTTCCTCTGAGCAGTTCCGGGCACCCTGTGGTGTAGTCGGGGCTGGATGGGTTGGCAACGCCCAGGAGGCGGCTGCATGGTTCTCTGCGTCGTTATCAGAGCACCTTGTGGTCCAAGCCACGCCCTGTATGACCACACAAATATCCCCAAAGGTTTTGGGTTCTCAAGTCATGCCCGAGTTTAGATGCTGGACATTTTTTGGAGAGGGGTCCCCTCCCCTTACGCAGGCCGTACACAGAAACCCGGCCCACATGACTAGCACGCTGAGCTCTGCAGGGACCGGTGCTAGGCACTGGGGGGTGGAAGTGTGGTGACACAGTGAATGGGAGGTGGGGGAGGGATGCAGCTCCCACCTCAGTTTAGTTTCTAATTCAAGGTTTTCAACCTGTAACACATTAAAGCTGTAATTAGCAATGAGGCTGTATTTTCATTCTGAAGCTTGTAACCTCCCCATTTTAGCACTAAGGCATTTCAAGATTTCAATGCCCAGCAGCTAGACAGACTGGGAACTCTATCTAAAATGCTTTTCCCCTGCCCAACTCTGTGGTCTCCAGGATCCAGAATGGCAAAGGCCTGAAGAGTGAGCTCTGGGGGTTGTTGGTGTGGGCGGGGAGAGAGCCCTGTGCAGAAGTCTGGAAACCTGGGTGCTAGTCCCAGCTCTTCCATGGGATCCCCCTGTCACCTTGAGCAAATCGATTGCTTCCTGAGCCTGTGTTACTTCATCTAATTCTCATTTGGATTGGATAATAGCTGATACTTTTCCATTTCTGGCATCTCCCCAGTATGGAAGTCCCAGTGGTCTCCCCAAGAAGTCCCCAAGACAGTCTTGCCAATGGCACCTCCTATCCTGCTCCAGTTTCCCACTGCAGCCTAGGCAGGGGATGTGCAGCTCAGGTTAGGGAGCCTGGCTTCTCTGTGAGCACATACATGGGTTCTCTGCAGCTCCCTCCAGGCTGCCTGGTTCTCCAGACCTGCACAAGGTGCTCCTGCCTCCCGCCTCCCTCTCTAAGTGCTGGGGCAAGACTTCTCCCGGGATGACAAGGAGCTGAGAGAGTGCAGTTTTTGTGAATTAAACTTGAAGTCCAGGCAGAATTCTAATGCAATCGGCTAAATGTTCTTGCAATTTAAGAAGCGTTCATTCTTTATCCTTGCTTCAGGCTACTGTTTTTGTGTGTCTGTGTGTGGGAGAGGGAGAGAGAGTGAGTGAGAGAAAGGGAAGTCCCCACCTGGAGCTGAGTGGCACATCTGTTATGGGGAGCCAATGGAAATGGGGTCGAGGGGCAGGCATTGGAACAGATGGATCCTCCCCTCTCACCACCACCACAAAATTCAGAAGCTGCAGTGGCCCAGCTTGCCCTTGTCTGTGGCTTTCCAGGTCTCACGGTTGCCATGGTAACCCAGCCCTCCAGTTCAGCAGCCTAAGGAGAGGCAGGTGTGGCCTCTGGGCAGAGCACAGGCATTGTGCTGGGAGTAGCCACCTCACCGGTTACTGTCATCTGTCATCTACTGGACATAATAAATGGGAGAAGTGTTCGGGCATGGGGGAAGAGGCTTCCATATGCCCCTCTTCCTTTCTACCCCCTCTTTCCACCCCCTACCCAGCTGTCTCTTCTCTTCCCATCACAGTTCTTGCTCCCTCTTACCCCTCCTCTATCCCAGCTCATCCCTCCTCCACTTAGGAGCCTGCAATGGGAGTCCTCTCCTCCATTGCTGTCAGAATTTCTCTTGTCTCCTCTCCTTTCCCCACCATTGGCCACTGGCTCTCTGGCTCTGGATTCTCTCTCTGATGGACTCACAGACCTTAGCTTCTCTTTCTTCATCTCCTTCCACACTAATTGTTGAAGGGAGAGGATGGGGCAGGGAGGGTCCTTTCAGGAACCCAGCTCTTTTTCTCTCACTCTGAATTTCACCTGTGTCTATCCTTGCCTGCCCTGGAGCTGTAATTCAGAGCCACTGCTTTCTGGTTCACTTTTCTTACCTGCATGGCACACAAAGGCAGACAGACCCATCTATAGGCATCTGAGCATACAACTAGGCCACATATACAGTACACATACCTGGGTCTCAGAATGATACTCCTGGGTCACCTGAATATACTTAAAAAAAAGTTGCAGGTGGATGCAGTGGCTTACACCTGTAATCCCAGCACTTTGGGAGGCCCAGCTGGGCAGATCACCTGAGGTCAGGAGTTCAAGACCAGCCTGACCAACATGGAGAAACCGCGTCTCTACTAAAAATACAAAATTAGCTGGGCTTGGTGGCGCATGCCTGTAATCCCAGCTACTCGGGAGGCTGAGGCAGGAGAATTGCTTGAACCCAGGAGGCGGAGGTTGCAGTGAGCCGAGATTGCGCCACTGCACTCCAGCCTGGCGATAGAGCAAGACTCCATCTCAAAAAAAAAAAAAAAAAAAGAGTGGTGCTTTAGGTGGGGCGCAATGGTTCATGCCTGTAATCCCAACACTTTGGGAGGCCAAGGAGGAAGTTTGAGACCAGCCTGGGCAAAATAATGAGAACGCTATCTCTACCAAAAAAAAAAATAAAATAAAATAATTCAGATGTAATGGCATTCACCTGGAGTCTCAGCTACTCAGGAGGCTAAGATGGAAGGATCACTAGAGCCCAGGAGTTCGGGGCTGCAGTGAACCATAATCATTGCCACTGCACTCCAGCCTGGGCGGCAGAGTAAGATCCTGTTTCAAGTTGTGGTTCTACCAGTTTTTTAACCCTGGGTGGGGTAAACTCAGGCCTTACCTGATCATCAGAAAAATTGTGAAAATAATGGTAACTACCTACTGAGAATAAGTGCATTTAAATAAGCACTTAACATAAAGTTGACACATGCTAAACAATAATATTTACTGTTGTTGCTGATGTGATCACTAAGTGTGTGAACGTGTGTGTATGTGTTCATGCATGGCACATCCCTGAGTCCATGAGTGTGACCCATTAAGGCCATGAACACACACATTTACACACCCAGGAAACCAGGCTGTACAGGCCTTAGATGCCCCACTATGTTCCCAACTCACTAGCAGACCTGCTGCCCTCCTTCAGTACCCCCAGCACCCGTTCTAGGCCTGCCCCACAGCTGTGTGGGGGCTGGGGTTCAGCTCCTGGAAGACTTAGCAGGGCCTCTCTGGAGACAGCTATAAGAAAGCATCAGCCTGCCCCTGTGACAGCCCCTAATTATCCCCCTAGCTTCTGTAATTAACCCCCATGGTGCCCAGACCCCCTGGGGTTGGGAGGTGAGGATCGGGATTCCTCAGACCCCACTGGCACATAGTTGGGGTAAGACTGCAGAGACAGCAGACTCCCTGGGTAGCGCTGGCTCAGATTTTGAAAGGTGCTGGTCCTCATTTCTTATGGTGTGTGTCGGGGGGTGCTGCAGGCTGCCCAGTGGGCATCTGAGGCATGATGGTTAGAGGTTGAGGTGCTAGGAGCGGTTCTCTTTATTAACGGCCAGAAAGTCAGGATCACCCAAAGAAGTCACTGAGGGGCCACAGCATTAAAGGGTATGGGGTTTGGAGAGATGGGAGCAGGGCCCACCACTCACGTCCAGGACCCAAGGGGCACAGCTGGTCCAAGAGGTGGAGGCATTGGTCACTGGAGTCAGGAGGGTCAGGACAGGCACCTGGGAGGGGGTGGGAGAGTCATAAGCACTCTCTTCTACACTACATCCAGCCTAGATGGGCTCTACCAAGCCCTACTTTGCACCCTCTATGTCCACTCCTTTGGGCCCCCCAGGACTCACTGAGAGGCTGAGGGAATGTCGGTCCGGAGGGTGGCAGTCACGGGCTAGGGCTGGGAGTCGTGGCCAGTGTGCAGGGCCTGGGAGCCCCGGGGCTGATGCCCTGGCTGGCGTAGTACTCCACCACCTGCCGCGGCACCTCCGCCAGGACACACTTGGCGAGTGCAGAGGGAGCAGCCTGGGGGTGGGAACAGCGATGTGGTTAGGGGTGGGAGGAAGAGTAGGGGAGGCAGGGTCAGCTGAGGGAGGGGTAGGGCTTCAGGGTGGCCAGCTGGGCTCCATCCTCCTTAGCAGGACATCAAATGGTGGAAGATGAAGGTCAGATTTGGGGACATGAGAAACCAGGGAGTCCTTCAGCCAGAAGGGGCCCAGGGGACTTACATCCTTGAAGTCTCGGAAGGGCACGAACTGGACAATGTCTCGGGCTGCAGGCATCCCTCGGGGGCAGCGCAAGGGTCCGTCATCGCCATCCAGCAGTCGCATGTCGGAGAAGTCAGCATTGCCCACACCCACGATGATGATGGACATGGGCAGGCGGGAGGCACGCACGATGGCAGCTCGGGTCTCGGCCATGTCACTCACCACACCGTCAGTGAGCACCAGCAGCACCGAGTATTTCTGAGGGCCAGCAGAGAGGGCGGAAGGGTTGGCTTTGTGTGCAAGGGTGTTGACACCATTTCCACCAATGTGCAGGCCCTGGCCTGGCACCACTTGAAGACACATGGGGTAGCTCCTCTTACCGTGGCTTGGCCGGTGCTCTGCTCCCGCTGGGCTGGCTCAGCCACACGGTTGATGATAGGGGCCACGTTGGTGGGGCCATAGAGCTGGATCTGGGGCAGGCAACGACGGTAGGAGGCGATGACCCCTGAGATCTCTGTGGGTGAAGAGAAGTGGTGAAAGCTGGTAAAAATGAGCAAGGGACCCTCCTGACACTCCTCAAAGCAAGGAAGTGCATCCAGGTCTGAGGACTGCCATCCCCCTTGAGTTACTTCACTGAGCAGTGGGAGAGTTGGATAGTCCCTTGGTGGGGAGAGCTTGGGGGGCAGATGCAGGGCCTTGGCCCTGGAAGCCTCACCTGATGCAGACAGGTCTGGGATGGGTGGAAGGGACAGGGAGCTGGGCCCCTGGAAATAGAGCCTGTTCTCCTGTGTGGGGTGTGTCTGGGGGGAGACGGGGCAGGTGAAAATCTCCCCTCTTACCTTCACATTCAGGATTTTCCGGGTCAAAGTTGATAGCAAAGTCATGGGACACCTGCGCAGGCAAGGCAGGAGCTGTGAGGGCCTGCCTTTCCTTCCTGTCTGACAAGCCCCACCCCCATCTCTTTCCTTCTCTCACATCAGCCTACCTCAAAGTTGGGGGGGATTCGAGCCCCAAAGCCAAAAGCTGGGAACCGCTTATCACTGGGGAGAAGAAAAGGCTGTGGGGTCCATCGGGCAAGGCCTCCCTGCCTGTTCCCTCCCACCCCACTTCCTCCTACCTGTCATAGTCCTGGCAGATGCCTCCCACTGCACGCAGGGCCTGCAGGTAGTGGTTGGGCTGTCGAGGGCTGAGGCAGTGCAGGGACTGGCTGCTCCTCGGGTCCCCATTGGAGGCGGTGAAGTCGATGGCCACCTGGGTGGGGTGCGGGTGGGAAAAAGGCCATGGCAGCCCTGAGAGCCACCAGGGAGCCTAGGCCAGAGCTGGATCTGGATAGAGGACTAGGATGAGTGTGGGCAAGGCTACACGTGGCTGTTTTGTGATCCGAGGGCATAAGCTGACAATGCCAAGGCTTATTAGCAGCCCAAGTGGAGGCAGTGGAGATTCTCCTTCCCTTCTTTATGCACTCAGCCCCTCCCTCTTGCCTGTGTGTCCACCCTCTGGGTCTTTACCGTGAAGCTGATCTGGCAGCCACCCATGATGTAATCCAGGAAGGTGTGCACTTTCTCTACCTGGAGGTAGGGAGAAGGGTAAGGCGAGGGGATAGGGTGGTCCTTTGAGGAGGGAGCTTGGGTAGGGCTTCAGTGGGGAACATGCGGGAGCCAGAGTTTTTTGGGTTGCAGTTGGGGGTGAGATAGGGCTAGGATTTCTAGTTCCCAGAAGCAGAGAAACTGGTCTTTGAAACAAGGGAAGGGTTGACTCTGAGAGTATGGTAGGGGCAGGGGCTGGGGTAAGGGTTGAAGCAGGAAGTAAAATTTACCGCGCACTGCGCCAGCACTACTGTCCCTGAGCTCTTGTAATTCTTCTTCTTGTCCCGATACTTGGGGTTGATACAGTCCCACTGCATCTAGACCCCACCCCACAAGCTCAGGGTCACAAGTCCATTAGGTGACCCCTCTTTCCCCCTTCCAGCAGAGCCTCCCAGAGCAAGATCCCCATGGCTCTATCCTTCAGCTAAGGCCAGGTGCTTTCCACCCTCTCCACCTA